TGGATTTCCCCCACATTAATGTACCCACTGCGATTCAAAACTCACTCACTCTCAGATCTCACTCACTCGCTCACTCGTCATCAGCGAACAAAGGTGGATCACTTATCAGACAGAATTTTGACAAATTCAAGTTGGGTTAAGTATCTTGTTAAGTTGTTTAGAAATTGGTCGTTTATTATAAGGAATGTTATATCCAAAAAAGCCAAGAAGCTAAGTAATAACTTAAACGTATTTCACTCAATGTCAAGATTAAAGTGAAATTACAATCCTTCTCGTTTGAGTTTTATGATAATTTATTAAGTCATGACAAATCATTCAAACGTGCACCCGTAAGATTTAGATCAGGACGATAAAATAACTCGCATTTGGGGAAGATCGTATGTGTTTAGCATCGGGGACAAAAAATTAACTAAACTGTGTGTGAATATACTTTTTTCTTTGACACAAAATACTATTTATAGCCTTGTAAGGAATGGTGTCCTTGTCAAATAGTCGTAAACCTGTTTTTACATAATCGTTCAATATCAATCTATGGCATCATTCCAATTTACTGTTCGTTTGTGTTCTTTGAACTGACATATTTGAAATTACAACTGTAATAGCAATAACGTGTTGTTATGCAGCCAGATAATTTACAATTTCTTCCAACGCATTTCACATTTGCATCATGCATCTCCGGATACAAAAGCATTATCGGTGTACTAAGAAATCCATGTTTCATTTCCTGCTTAACAATGCGTAAACACTGGAAAGGGTGACCATGGAATTAAAGAAAATATAAATGAGAAGACAAGTGAAACACGCCCAGTCTCTCGATTGAGTGATATAATGAGAACAGAGCCTCTCTTCTACTCGATCTTCGACGAGCCTAAGGGGGATTTTTTAACCACAGGCATTATGGAGATGAGTGTTCCGCCATGACGGTGATCACGAGCCACGGTGTCAATATATCATTGTTTCACGTTTGTCACTTGTTATAACGTTCAGCCTGCTTTCTCCTTGTTCAATACGCTACGGAAATGACATCTGCGACGACGAACGGGGATCTGTACGGGATCGGTGAGGTATGCGAACATATTCCTACAACTGGTTCTGACCTAACGTTTATAATACTCAGTAACAAATAATATTTAAATTTCAAACTGATTTAAATCTATTTCAAATTTGTTTTCTGAAGAAAAGGCAATATAAATTTCGTTTATTAAATGTTAGGAAGAGGTTAGGTATTTATATGAGTTCTTCAATATGATATTGATAGGATCATATTTTGTTATGGGAATAATAGACTGATGTTGACAGTGAAACCTTCTGTGTGCCCAGCGTCATGGCCACCATGTGTATAAGTTGTTCCAAAAGTGCCAGAGTGTTTGTCACAAACCATGTTCCCGATTGGGTTGTTATGGAAATAACAATGAAATGGGTGTGAAGTTACACTAAATCAGGCAGATCACCCTTCAGAGGTTCGGGTAAACATCAAAGTAGGACTAACCATCGTCCGTTTTTGTTTCCACACCACGACAAAGGCGCCATACCACTTTCAAACACTCTCAGTCGACTTGAGATTACGTTTGCGGTGATCTAGACTTAGTGGAGTCCAAGGCTCACTTGCACAAAGCGATCTTAGCGCTAAGATGATTGTACCTCCCATACTTTAACATAGGCTTACAATAGTCTTTGCGCTAAGATCGCTTTGTGCAAGTGGGCCCAGAGCAGTATGGGCTTCTGCACACCATACTTGTAGGCTCGTTGATCTTTCTCATGCTCTCAGCCAGATGTGTGCTTGGCCTATGCTCAATTATGTATCCCTTGCTGTGATATGACTGGAATACTGTGGCGTAAAATAACATTTATTCACTACTCTTCATTTTTAATCTGGAAGTCGCTTTCCTTGATATGGTGTTCACCTGTTTGTTAAAAGGCTCAACTCACCTCAACCCCATCTATTGTCTTGCTAGCCAACATTTGGGAAAGTCCATATGGGAACCAAATCTACACACATGTTTTTCACGTTTAATTCCATAATCAATAATGAATTGTTCTGTTTGAATTTCCTTAACATCAAAGATAATTCTGATTTTTATTTGCATATACTTAATTTGTTTTGCCACTATGTTGCGATGCCCAAGTAGAACCGAGCATCAGTTAATACATTGGAATGCAATTGCCCCATTGCTACCAGTAAGCCTCAGCTGCGCTAAGCCTCTGTAACGGAGCGGCCTTTATATGAAAAAGTGAGTGAGTGAGTATGGTTTAACGTCGCTTTTAACAGTATTCCATTTATATCACAAGGTGTCAGCTTAATGTGGGAGGAAAGCCCGAAGTGATGCAGGTCTCAGATATTTACCACTTCGGTGAAACCCACGGGCACGGGTATGGTGCTGACAAACCTAGGAACATAATCGGGGCGAACCTGGATTCGAACCCCCAACATAAGTTTCTGGCATGCCCAAGGGGCGCAAATCTGCACAGCGAATCGCGCCGCCTTAGACGACTGGGCCACCTGTGCCCACTTATATGAAAGGACGCATTATGGAAAAAACTATGACTGAGTAGCCTGTCGTCGCAAATCATCACATGTGATGCATGATAGTAAAAATACAAACTGTCACTTGCCGCACCCCCTACATATTCCCGGCAGTCACCTTCATCGTGAGGCCCCCCTCGTTGACAACACCCCAGGGGCCATCAAGCTTACCCTGGTTCCTTTGATTATTGGATATTTCAGTTGGAAGGGCAATGTCACTTTTGACGAGTTTCATTGTGTGATGTATTGCGATAATGATGTTTGTAACTTTTGTGTATGTTTCTTCATTATTATTATGCCAGGTTTTCAGGTGTGCGGTATATATACAATTCGTGTCATGATAATCACATAAGATCGCATCTACCCTTTAAAAGAATGAAGTATACATTAAACTGTGTTGATTTCAAACTGTTCATGTTTTCAAACATATTGTACATGGAAATCAAACTTGTTATTTCTCATTGACATTTTTAAATATAAGTATCATATTGAATGCCTAGGTGGGTGAAGAAATCAAAACTTTATCTCCGAGAGAATATTTTTATTGAACTACATACAAAGTACTGAGTAATTAAGAATAGACTTTCAAACGTAAAAACAGGTCTTCCCACATTGAGTTTTAACCTTTACAACTCCATAAACGCAAAAAAAGTATTGAAATCAATTCATATAAATAAATACGTCAACGATAATAACTTCACAAAATGCTTATTTAATCATCAACACAAACAACTGTAGAAAATTATATGTCAGTGACATATTTCAGCACAATAACGCGGCACAAGCCCCATCCATTCTGTAGTCAGCTGATCAGGAAACAGTAATTCGTTAGTTGGGCCTGGCCTTTCTTTTCTGTTCTTGGAAACATAAACGCTAAAACAACTGCTTAGTTAGTAAATCAGTTGTCACGGAATGACATGCAATTTATTTGTTTAATCTTATCACAGATTTTGCCTCTTCGTAAGAATGTGATCCCACCTGCTCAAAATTAATATAACATTATGCTTATGGTTGATGTACCTTGTAGATACAAACATGAGATCAGCTCCAAGAACAAGATTGGAGAACGTTTCCGTCATGAATCCGTAAGAGACTGTTTCGATTCGATGAATGGATTATATGTCAGATTAATTAAATGCCACAGTTATCAAAATCCTTGCTATTATCCTGCAACGATGATGAAGTACACTAGTCTGAATGAGTCAGAAAAGTAGACATGTGACTTCGCAGACGTGTGCTTCAAATCGATTTGTCGATACATGTCAGCCAATTACAGAGGCGTTCAATGTCATTCGGAGTCAAAATATTGTATGTAAGTGAATTTGAGTGAGTTTGGGTTTACTGCGCTTTTAGAAATATTCCACCCACGTCATCACGGGGGACACCAAGAATGGGGTTCTCATGGTGTCGTCACTATATACACTGAGGGTACATGAATTATGAGTGAGTGAGTGATTCTACACCGTTTAAGCAATGTCACAGCGGGGGAACCCTCAAAAAGAATCATAATACCAGATCCTGGAAACACAAATGCCAGATTTACGCTCTACAAAATCCACAGGTTATTGTTGTAAGGCAATAAACAAAATCAATCATTTGAAATAGTTATCTCTCCTTTAGTAGAACGACATTTCGGATCGTATAGTCATTGCCTTATTTTGGACCTTTTGTATTAGCTTTCGAAAGTCAAACTTGTAATTGTTTGACTATAGACGATATTGGGAATATGCGCAGCACGTATGTTCGTGGGGTAAGCAGCTATTGGTTCGGCGTGTCACGCTTCTGTTCATTGAGTGAGTAAATTTGGATATATTCACTCCGCTTTAAACATTATTTCAGCTAAATGGGGGACGATAGCCCAAATAGGTCTTGATGAACAGTCGAGAATGGATCTGACAAACCAAGAATAACGAGGGGGAATCCTTTTGACAACAATTTGATTGTTTAGGGATTTAATGAGCATTTTGTTGACATTTGCTCTTAGCCAATGTTGGATGTATAGACAAATGAAATCATATCTTCTTGTCACGCCCTACACATCAGATTGGTTACGGTAAGCACAGCATTCGATGGTGGCAGCATCCTCGGACCAACATTATTAACGACACGAAAGGAAATGTGAAAACTAAACAAACCAAAGTACGCATGATCTATGACAGTCAATACATCTGGCTCACATTTGATTCTTTTTATAGATACTTTTCGGAAATAAGTATAAGTATACACTTGCAAATTGGATTTGAAAAAAAACCATACAAACGTTATCAAGACGGTAGAAGGCTGAAGCCAGTCACCGAATCGATGCAAAACTTAAGGCGCAAAGCACAACTATGATACCGGTACCAAATACATCGAATAACCATTTCTTGATTGTTTCATTTCAGCCGCTATGAAATATGGATGTATACATTCTTTTGCCAGGTATCTTATTCAGATATCAAATTTGCTAAAAGGAATATTTTATTCTATTTTGCAGGTACCCTACAAAGGCCGAGTCAGGATGAGCAAATCTTCTGTGTTGAAGATACTCCTATCACTCTCTGTGCTTCTAAACTTGGCTTTGATTGGATTCTTGCTCTGGACTCGATTTATGCCTTTTGACTATTGGTCAAAGGATGACCAACAAGTGTCACAAACCAAGCCTGTCATTGGTCTGAATGGTCATTCTTCTTCCACACCTCCATCAGTTTACCCGAACCCCAACGACACCCATACAGTGCCTACAGCCCCGCCGTGTGGAGGGAACTCCAGCTCCAGGTTAAAGCCACCTTCATACAGCAATATATTCCAGGATCTGAGATCACAAGAGATCAAATCTGTGGAGCAATACTTATTCAAAGTCAAAGATTTTGAATTAGTGGAGGCTTTTAAAGCAGAGTTAACTAGTAATTTTATCTTCAGTATTGAGTTACAAACGCCAAACAAATCTTCCGCCTTGCACTTTCTGGACAACAAGGGGAGACCACCCGCACGCGAAGCTCTTGCTGTGCTGTTCCTGCCTTCCTTCAACCCGCCAGCCGTGGAGGAATATGTGGTGGGACCGCTACCCAAACCAACCTATCACTATCGAAACCCCAGGAGAGACAAGTCAATAGATTTCAGGATCCGTCAGTTTAACAACGTGGAGATGGGCCATGCTATTAGAACTGTTCAGCAAGCATTAGGAGCTAAGATTGAGCAATTCCTTCAAAAACATTATGGAGCGCATTTTTTCGGTTGTGTTGAACAGTGTTTGACTTTTACTAGTTCTGCTGTAAGTTCAGTCTTCTCGAAGGAGAGACGGCTGTGGATTAATGCTATGTACATGGTTGAATTCTCCACGTTACACGCCCTTGGATTCCAGTTCCTTCTTACCATGGTTGGTCTTGATTCTTCTAAATGGTACATTGAGAAGGTTTGGTACGCAGACAAACTATACGACTCTTTTGATGACCTGATTGACAAATACGAACTAGGAGAAACCCCTAAGATCAATCTTAGGTTTCCCAAAGTCAAGGTAGGAGAGGACAGCCTCGGCGGGTCCCTCAACATCAAGGGCAAGCAGTTCCCACGTGTTCCTCAGGCTGGACCCCGCCAGTATGAGCCCCATGGTCACCGATACACAGTCCAGGATGAACACGTGGAGTATCTTCAGCAGTGGTCCTTTAATTATAGGATGTCTTACGCCAGTGCTATTCAGCTTTATGATGTAAAGTTTGGAGGACAGAGAATTGCATATGAGATAAGTCTGCAAGAAATTATAGTGTTATATGCTGGAGCTAATCCAGCCACCATGCACTCCCAATTGGCTGACAGTGCCTTCGGCCTGAGTCGGAATGCTCATGGTCTAGTTCCAGGAGTTGATTGTCCGGACTATGCCACGTTTTTGCCTGTGACCTTGTTTGGGGCTGACCATCCAGATCCTTTTAACTACCCAAACAGTGTTTGCATCTTTGAACATAATAACAATGTTCCTGCGCGACGACACAAGGCCCATAGCTACCGCAGCGGCTCATACTACCAAGGCCTCGTCGACAATGTCCTCATACTTAGAACAGTGTACGTCATGTACAACTATGACTACATCTTAGACTTTATATTTCACCAAAGCGGCGCCCTGGAGATTAAGGTGTTATCAACTGGTTACATCCTCAGCGCCTTCTATACAAATGAGGAAAAACCGTTTGGGTTCCGAGTGCTTGATGATACGCTGGGTTCCATCCATCATCATATGTTCAACTTCAAAATCGACGTCGATATCCTTGGTACAAACAACCGATATGAGACCTTGAACTTTAAAGTGGACAACGTCACCAGGAGCTGGTATGACAACGGACAACCGATTCCCCAACTATCGTTTGAACATGACCTCAAACACACGGAGCAAGATGCAGCGTACAAGTTCAATTTCGATACCCCTAGATACCACGTGATCTACAACAATAACATGGAGAACAAGTTTTCGGGGAAGAGAGGGTATAGACTGCAGGCGCATGGCTTCTCGAAACAGATGCTTCCCGAGGATAGTGGCGCCCTGAACACATACACGTGGTCACGTTATCAGATGGCCGTCACCAAACGTAAAGACGAGGAGCAGGTCAGCAGCTCCATGCACGCTATATTCGACAGTGGTGACCCTGTTGTGAGCTTGCAGTCATTTATTGATGATAATGAAAATATTGTTGACCAGGTAATATTTTTTTTTGTTAAACAATAATTTATTTTTTGATAAGTTTACAATGGAACCTTGTTTGTCTAAAATATTTACTCTCGCTAAATAATATTGAATAATACTGTTCATGACTGTCACCTCAGTTCATTGAGTATTGATTCATGGAGTCCTAGTGGTCTAAGTCGCGGTAACTCCGTATACAAAGTTGCATCTCTTGAGGTACCAAAGTCTTTATGTTTTACACACCAAACGAAACACCTTCTTAGTCACCAAATATTTTCTCGTGTTAAAGGGACATGTGAAGTCGAAAAACACCCCCTTTATAAAGTATATAATAAAACAGCAAATATCTGTAATGTAAACAAATCACCTATCAACTGCGAGAGCCGGCACCACAGTGTCATTAACATAATATGGGGAAACCCCATGTGTGTATATGTCCCCATATGGTGATGTATATGTAAACATATCCAGGTATCAGGCGCGTAGGAAACTCAGGTAATAAACAAGACTTTAAGCAGTTTTTTTCTCAAACGCAGATCGAAACGAAGATCGAAACGAAGATCGAAACGAATAAGGGAAAATGAAAGATAAGGGGAAATATGCTTTACTGTCAGTACTTCGCACCAAATTCAACACGTCACAATCAATTGTTGAGATGTGTTTTTGTGCATTATTTACAACGAGTGTTTGGTAGACAACGCTGGGAACACACGGTAGCATCTGATCTAAGCTGGTTACATACCAACTGTGGTTTAAATATGATACATTTTTACCGGTTTCAAATCTCCAGGTTGCGTTGCAATATATTCAAAACACAATATGCGAATCCCTTATTAGCCTATAAATGATAACGGCTATTGAAACAATTATTTGTAAGAATTACTCATATCACCAGGTTATCCCTACAGACAAAACTTTCATAATGACGTCACAAATGCCTGAAATAGTTCCACTGGAAGGTTTGAACATTGACCGGGGGCTCAGATTGGCTAATCGTGAGCTTTAGCGCGAACGTCAGAGAAGACAGCTGCTGCGGGCTTTAATGAGAGTTATCTCCTCATGGGCATCATTTACGGTTAATCATTTGTTTGTCTAAGGAAGTCCCTCTGATACAGTGTCTCTGTTGTCAAGTACAATTATCCACCTTAGAACATAGTAAATCTACAAATAGCCACCTATGTCGTCTCCCCAAGCGAAATTAGAAGCAAATTTAGTCGACACACTTCTGCCCCAAATGTCGCTGACCAAACCAGTGGTGTGATGTGTATTGTCAACGCGGCTATTGAAGGGTAAAGTGTAAAACTAGTGAAGCCGCGCTCACATCCCCAGACGTCTGAGACCACAGATGATGAACGTTTTTGGCGTTATTAATTGCGACACTTGTGTCGAACCTCATTAAAAGTAGCAGATGATAACAGCCATTTGAAACGATGCGTCGATTTCTGAGTATCAGGCGGCAGTACATCTACTGCAGGGCATAGTAATACATTGTTGTAATTGTTGCCGGGAATCTAAACGCCAAACGCACAACGCACAACGCACAACGCACAACTTTACAGCGATTATAGTTTAGCCCCAACTGTGGTGCTTTTAGGATAAAGCGTATCTAGAGGTGTTTAATTAATCCCAGCCTGATTGCAAGGAAAGTGATTAATTCTCGAATCATCCGTTTAAAAGATTACTCCATTCCCGAATCATTTTTATCTGTCAGTTTGAAGTCAATGGCATGATCTATTACGCCCTTCGGAGCGTTCAGCTTTATCCCTTTAATGTGACAGGAATATATGGGATTCACAGTTCAAATGTTGTGTTCTTTAGTGATAAAACTGATACCGAAGTACAGATTAATTTATCAACTTTTCAATGTAAAGGACGTCGTATGTTTTATGGAAGGAGCGGTTCTGCGACGAATATGGCATTCTTTCAGAGATGTTAAAACACCTAAGGGTATGTTAATCGGATCTGCTTCCGAACCAACTGCCATACCTCCGCGTATTGTTTCCGTCCGTGACATGGCATATCGCGTTCGTTTTAGGAAGACGACTAAAATTTGTCAACAAACATATCAAACAAAACAAGTATATTCGGTGTCATAGCAATGGTTCATAGCCAAAGCCGAAAAGATAGGCATGCAGCTACCGTTGATGACGTCAGAGCGAAGAAAAGAACATAGTCGTCCGCATGCAACTTTTTCATACACGCTATTGTAACGACAGTCGCAATAAAGTGTACCCTCATCATGTATATATGACCCTAACAACGGGTGTAACCTCCCCGCAACTGGTAGCAAGCACTCACTCGCCACATGACGAGGCCATTAGTCTTCTTATGACGTTATAAGGCATACGTCGCCATTGCCTTCCAAGAGTCAGCTGTTGTCTTCTGTTAGGGAGGGTGTGGTCTGCGTCGAGCACGTCGATCCAGATAATCCCAATGTTGTTGGCCCTGATACCCACTGGCCACAGTCTCCTGGCAACTGTCTGTCGGCTCTGATACCCACTGGCCGCAGTCTCCTGGCAACTGTCTGTCGGCTCTGATACCCACTGGCCGCAGTCTCCCGGCAACTGTCTGTCGGCTCTGATACCCACTGGCCGCAGTCTCCTGGCAACTGTTTGTGGGCGCTTATACCCACCGGCCACAGTCTCCCGGCAACTGTTTGTGGGCTCTGATACCCACTGGCCACAGTCTCCTGACAACGGTCCGTCGGTTCTGATACCCACTGGCCGCAGTCTCCCGGCAACTGTCTGTCGGCTCTGATACCCACTGGCCGCAGTCACCTGGCAACTGTCTGTCGGCTCTTATATCCTCAGATATCAGTAATTACTTGCCATTTAGAAATGTCACAAATTCAACTGTACTATGTTAATTAATGATTTGTTGAAATGTTTAAAAATGTTTAACTTACTCACACATGCAGATTAAATATAAAACGGCGCCACTAAAACACCTAAGCCAGTGACGCAAAGGCTTACTTTACTGACGGAATAAAAGTGTCCCTTAAATACTCGATCCGAAAAACCATTTATTTCGATTTTGTTACAGGATCTGGTTGCTTGGGCAACGGTTGGAATGCTCCACCTTCCCCACACAGAGGACATCCCGAACACCCCTACAACTGGAACGGAAGCTACCATCACACTACTTCCCTACAACTACTTCCAGGAGTGTCCCTCCATGGGAGCACGTGACGCGGTCCGCATCGATGGACAGCCGGACTTTAGAGTGAATAATCACGGAATCCCACAGGATGTCAGTTGTGTTCCGAGTCATTTGACTAGCGAGGATATCTCTAAACAAAAGGACAGTATATTTATGGCAGCTGGGTGAATTTAACGGATCCTGATAAAAAAATCATCGTTCGTGTAAATATCAACATCATTTTTGTACATTTGTCACGTCAGTTTGGTATCGGTTCTGTTATGTTCAATTTTTTATCATTATTAAAGTGGTACTTGTATTTGGACTTCATTACACCTGTGTTCAGTTCGTGCGGTTGTGGCGTGTCTTCTGGAGTAAGTGAATTTGGTTTGACGCCGCTTTATATGTGGCAACAAAGCCAAAAGTGATGCAGGCTCTAGGCGTTCACCACTGCGATAGAACCCACGAGTACGGGAATGGTGCTGACAAACATAGAAACATACTCAGGACGAATCTGGGCTTCGAACCAACCATCAGAGATGTTTTGCATTCCAAAAAAAACGCCAGAAACCTATGATTGTGGGTTCGAATCCCGGTTCGCCCGATTATGTTTCTAGGTTTGACAGCACCATACCCGAGACCTGCATCACTTCGGGCTTTCCTCCCACATTAAACTGACACGCCGTGATATGACTGGAATACTGTTAAAAGCGGCGTTAAACCCAACTCACTCACTCATTCACAAGAGAACATACGTGTGTGTCTTAAAGGGATCGTTATTCCAATGTGCATGCGTGCCGGAATCAAACTGTGACACTTCATCCCTTTTATATTAGTGAAACTCACATTCGAACTGTGTCTCACAGGTGAGGTGAAATGGGGTTTTACGTCCAAGTTTATTGCACTTATATAGCGACGTGCATGTACGTGTGTGTGTTTGTGTGGCTGCTTGTACTAGTCCGGATTGATGCCGATTTATAGTGCTAGCTCACTGAGATACCATGCCGCAGTTTTACATGAATAACCCACTCAGACACAGTATACTGACTTCGATCCGACCAGTCCTTGTTTTAGCCCCTTAATGCCGAGCGCCAGACAGGGTAACAATAAGTACCATCTTTTAACGTCTTTTGGTATGACGCGGCCGGGGATCGAACCCCCGACCTTCCACTCTCCGGGCGGACGCTCTACCACTAGACCACGGAGGCGGTCGTGTCTCACAGAGGCTGGACAAGCTTTTAGTTGTGGTGTATATATTGTTATAGAAAAACGTCTAGTCTCGACAGTGTTAGATGGAACGTTTTTACACTGCACATAGACAATCAATCATTTTGGAAAGAACATTGTTACAATAGAACAACAAAAAAACTATTCTCTTCAATAAATAATTGGACAATGCAAACGTTGCAACATTTTGAAGGTGATGTTGTTAACAGTCTGTGGCGGTAAGACCAGCAAATCTACAAGTTCTTTTTAAAGTTGTTTGTTTAATCAGACGATGTCATATGAAATTGTTTCATTTTGGAAAATCAAAAAGATATTTATGACATTACTTTATCTGCAGTTAAATGTAAGCCCTTTCAATAAACATGCCTTGGGTAATGAGGGAATGAAGTAAAACATTATAATGTATTTAAATGTTGATAATAAGAGTTAGCGTGAGGAGCAATTAGCAACCTTTCAAACAGTGGTCACATTCAGTGTTACCTGGAAGGAATTAATCCCGGGTGAATATTCCCAAATGCAACGTATTCACGGTTGTATGTACCCAAAAGCAAAATATTCTCGATTGAATGTACCCAAACGCAACATATTCCTGATTGAATGTACCCAAACGCAACATATTCCTGATTGAATGTACCCAAACGCAACATATTCCTGATTGAATGTACCCAAACGCAACATATTCCTGATTGAATGTACCCAAACGCAACATATTCTCCATTGAATATACCCAAACGCAACATATTCCTGATTGAATGTACCAAAACGCACCTGATTGAATGTACCCAAACGCAACATATTCTCGATTGAATGTACCCAAACGCAACATATTCTCGACTGAATGTACCCAAACGCAACATATTCCTGATTGAATGTACTCAAACGCAACATATTCTCGATTGAATGTACCCAAACGCAACGTATTCCTGATTGAATGTACCCAAACGCAACATATTCCTGATTGAATGTACCCAAACGCAACATATTCCTGATGCAATGTACCCAAACGCAACATATTCCTGATGCAATGTACCCAAACGCAACATATTCTCGATTGAATGTACCAAAACGCAACGTATTCCTGATTGAATGTACCAAAACGCAACATATTCCTGATTGAATGTACCCAAACGCAACATATTCCTGATTGAATGTACCCAAACGCAAGATATTCCTGATTGAATGTACCCAAACGCAACATATTCCTGATTGAATGTACCCAAACGCAACATATTCCTGATTGAATGTACCAAAACGAAACATATTCCTGATTGAATGTACCAAAACACAACATATTCCCGATTGAATTTATCCAAACGCAACATACTCTCGATTGAATGTACCCAAACGCAACATATTCCTGATGGAATGTACCCAAACGAAAGCAATTCCCGACTGAATGTACCGAAACACAACATATTCCCAGGCACAGGGTATTTTTGGGTCAGGGAACTCTTTCGAGAGTTTGTTAATGATCGCGACCTATCAGTTAGTGTTAATTCAACATCTTAAAAATTGGACCTTCATGCACAGACGATGCCAGGCAGATTATCTTGAATATTGGACCTTCGTGCACAGACGATGTCGGGCAGTTTATCTTGAATATTGGACCTTCATGCACAGACGATACCATGCAGTTTATCTTGAATATTGGACCTTCATGCACAGACGATGTCAGGCAGTTTATCTTGAATATTGGACCTTCATGCACAGACGATGCCATGCAGTTTATCTTGAATATTGGACCTTCATGCACAGACGATACCATGCAGTTTTTCTTGAATATTGGACCTTCATGCACAGACAATGTCAGGCAGTTTATCTTGAATATTGGACCTTCATATACAGACGATGCCATGCAGTTTATCTTGAATATTGGACCTTCATGCACAGACGATGCCATGCAGTTTATCTTGAATATTGGACCTTCATGCACAGACGATGCCATGCAGTTTATCTTGAATATTGGACCTTCATGCACAGACGATGCCAGGCAGTATATCTTGAATATTGGACCTTCATGCACAGACAATGTCAGGCAGTTTATCTTGAATATTGGACCTTCATGCACAGACGATGCCATGCAGTTTATCTTGAATATTGGACCTTCATATACAGACGATGTCATGCAGTTTATCTTGAATATTGGACCTTCATGCACAGACGATGCCAGGCAGTTTATCTTGAATATTGGACCTTCATGCACAGACGATGTCATGCAGTTTATCTTGAATATTGGACCTTCATATACAGACGATGTCATGCAGTTTATCTTGAATATTGGACCTTCATGCACAGACGATGCCATGCAGTTTATCTTGAATATTGGACCTTCATAGACAGACAATGTCAGGCAGTTTATCTTGAATATTGGACCTTCATGCACAGACGATGCCATGCAGTTTATCTTGAATATTGGACCTTCATGCACAGACGATGTCAGGCAGTTTATCTTGAATATTGGACCTTCATATACAGACGATGTCAGGCAGTTTATCTTGAATATTGATCCTTCATGCACAGACGATGCCATGCAGTTTATCTTGAACATTGGACCTTCATGCACCGACGATGCCATGCAGTTTATCTTGAATATTGGACCTTCGTGCACAGACAATGTCAGGCAGTTTATCTTGAATATTGGACCTTCGTGCACAGACGATGCCATGCAGTTTATCTTGAATATTGGACCTTCATACACAGACGATGTCATGCAGTTTATCTTGAATATTGGACCTTCATGCACAGACAATGCCAGGCAGTTTATCTTGAATATTGGACCTTCATATACAGACGATGTCAGGCAGTTTATCTTGAATATTGGACCTTCGTGCACAGACAATGTCAGGCAGTTTATCTTGAATATTGGACCTTCGTGCACAGACGATGTCAGGCAGTTTATCTTGAATATTGGACCTTCGTGCACAGACGATGCCAGGCAGTTTATCTTGAATATTGGACCTTCATGCACAGACGATGCCATGCAGTTTATCTTGAATATTGGACCTTCATGCACAGACGATGCCATGCAGTTTATCTTGAATATTGGACCTTCATGCACAGACGATGCCAGGCAGTATATCTTGAATATTGGACCTTCATGCACAGACGATGCCATGCAGTTTATCTTGAATATTGGACCTTCATGCACAGACGATGCCAGGCAGTATATCTTGAATATTGGACCTTCATGCACAGACGATGTCAGGCAGTTTATCTTGAATATTGGACCTTCATGCACAGACGATGCCATGCAGTTTATCTTGAATATTGGACCTTCATGCACAGACGATGTCATGCAGTTTATCTTGAATATTGGACCTTCATATACAGACGATGTCAGGCAGTTTATCTTGAATATTGGACCTTCATGCACAGACGATGCCATGCAGTTTATCTTGAATATTGGACCTTCATAGACAGACAATGTCAGGCAGTTTATCTTGAATATTGGACCTTCATGCACAGACGATGCCATGCAGTTTATCTTGAATATTGGACCTTCATGCACAGACGAGGTCAGGCAGTTTATCTTGAATATTGGAACTTCGTGCACAGACGATGTCAGGCAGTTTATCTTGAATATTGGACCTTCATATACAGACGATGTCAGGCAGTTTATCTTGAATATTGATCCTTCATGCACAGACGATGCCATGCAGTTTATCTTGAACATTGGACCTTCATGCACCGACGATGCCATGCAGTTTATCTTGAATATTGGACCTTCGTGCACAGACAATGTCAGGCAGTTTATCTTGAATATTGGACCTTCATGCACAGACGATGCCAGGCAGTATATCTTGAATATTGGACCTTCATACACAGACGATGTCAGGCAGTTTATCTTGAATATTGGACCTTCATGCACAGACGATGCCATGCAGTTTATCTTGAATATTGGACCTTCATATACAGACGATGTCAGGCAGTTTATCTTGAATATTGGACCTTCGTGCACAGACAATGTCAGGCAGTTTATCTTGAATATTGGACCTTCGTGCACAGACGATGTCAGGCAGTTTATCTTGAATATTGGACCTTCATGCACAGACGATGCCAGGCAGTATATCTTGAATATTGGACCTTCATGCA